AAATGTTCCACATGTATCCCAACAATTTTATAAAGAAGATTTATAAAGAAATTTAGTGGAGAAAACTTTGGTTTACATAATTTACTTTCCTAGTTACTAAGTGGCAACACTGAGATTTGAACACAGATTTCTGACACCAGGAAATGTGCTCTTTTTTTTTTTAAAATATTTATTTTTTATTTTTTAGTTGTAGTTGGACACAACCTTTATTTTATTTATTTATTTTTATGTGGTGCTGAGGATAAAACCCAGGGCCTAGCACGTGCTAGGCAATTGCTCTACCGCTGAGCCACAACCCCAGCCCCAGGAAGTATGCTCTAACTTTCTTCTTTAAAGAGGGAAAAAAATAAAATCTTATTTTAATCTTATTCATTTGACTGAAGGTAAAAATCAACAATTTTTAAATCACAGGTCTTTTGAAAATTATATTTACTTCATTTCTGAGTAATATGGATTTGATCATATAGTTCTTCAAGACTGGATAATACTACTTACTCTAAGTTACCAAGAAGCAGAGTTTGGTTACAAAAAATTTTGCTATAATTTATGATTTTGTAATATGATTAAATTGAGCTTGACATCCATTTAGGACCTAATGCATTTTTTTTTTTTTTTTGGCTATTGAGGAAACTTATGTGTAAGTTTTTTGGCTGAATTTTCTTTCTAGATACTTTCAACTTCTACCTAATATGCTTCATATTAGGCAATCATGAAAAGAACAGAGCTTTTAGATGGTTCAATGTCATAGCCATTGTTAGAAAAATTAATCTGAATTGAATAAAAAAATGATATACAATATTTCAACAGAAATTTGGTTTCCCTGCCTCTTACAGATCACTTAAACAGGTTCATTTTTGCTTATGTAAAATATTTCCAGATGAGTAATTTATGAATGGGACCATTTAGATTATGTGAAGTTCTGAATCATGTGTTATAGTGTTAGCAGGGCTATGCTGAAGGCATAGTACCAAATTTTTCAGTAACATTCATAAAATGGAAAAATAGACATTAGAAGTCTTATACTTTACCAACTCATGCCCTTTTTAAAATATATATATTTTTTAGTTGTATATGAACACAYAATATCTTTATTTATTTTATTTTTATGTGGTGCTGAGGATCGAACCCAGTGCCTCACATATGCAAGGCAAGTGCTTTACCTCTGAGCTACAGCCCCAGCCTTCAACTCATGCCCTTTTTATAAAATTATAAAATATTATTTCACTTAGTATAAATGGAAACACCAAACAAAATTACCCTTAAAAAAATTTAGTTGCCATATAAAGTTGTCTTTTTAAAAATAAAAAAGATCAACCTTTGCAAATTTTATATAGTTCAACTTAAATCCTATTATTCCATATGCATGAATTCAGCAGTAATTAGAAAGTAAGTTTCATTAAAATAAGGGTTTTTGTTTTTTGTTCACTACTAAGGGTTTTTGTTTTTTGTTCACTACTATGCAGAAAGTAAGCATTTAGAAAATATTTAGCTGGTGGTACAGCTAGTGGTAAAACACGTCCTTACCATGTGCAGGGCCCTGGGTTTTAGTACTGGGTTCCCAGTACTGAAAAAGAAAGGAAGACAGAGTTAGGCACAGTGGCACACACCTGTAATCCCAGTGACTAGGGAAACTGAGTAAAAGGATCACATTTTTTTTAAACATGCCTTTATTTTATTTATTTTTATGTGGCAGTAAGGATTGAACCCAGTGCCTCACGTGTCAGGCAAGCCCTCTGACACTGAGCTACAGCCCCAGCCCAGGAGGATCACAAATTTGAGGTCAGTTGTGGCAACGTGGTAAGACCCTGTCTCAAAATAAAAATAAAAAAGAGCTGGGGGTGTAACTCACTGATGGAACACCAGGTGATTAATCCACTGGGTTAAAATTCCAGTACCACAAAAAGAAGAAGAAAAAAGGGAAGAAAGAAAGTTGTTGAATGAATGATTTAGAAAGTCAAGTAAATGTAAGAACTAACCTTCCCCCTAGTACCATGTGTCTTTGAACTTAGGTTTAGTGTGGTAATAAGAAAATTAATCTGGCATGCATGTTTCTCTATTAAAATGATAAAAAGTTGAGTTTAAAAACTAATTTACTCAATAGAATTGAAAACAGGTCCACATAAAACTTGTATATGAATGTTCATAACAGCCCCAAAGAGAAACAACTCCCATTGCCATCAACTGATGAATGAATTAAAAAAGTGCTATATCCATGAATGGAATGTCATTCAGTTATAAAAGGAGTGAAGCACTGATGTGTGCTACATCATGGATGAAACTGGAGAACTGTTTGCTAAATGAAAGTGGCCAGACACAAAGGTCTTATATTATATTACCCATGCATATAACATATCCAGAATAGGCAAATCAATAGAGACTGAAAGTATACTAGTGGTTGACAGGAGCTGATGGGGAAGATGAGCAAATGGGGAGTGGCTACTATTGGGTATTGGTTTCTTTCTTTTTTTTTTTTAGTGATGAGAATGTTCTGTAACTAGAGCATGGTAGTGATGGGATATAAAATCTTGTGAATATATAAAAGCCACTGAATTGTATGTAGCTCTTTTTTTTTTTT